GAGAAGAAATAATTATCAAAAAAAATATTAAAAAAAAATATATCAAGATTAACTTATAGAAATATTTAATTGATTATTTTAGGAAATAACAACTTTTTTTATTGACCCCTTGACTATATACAAAAAAGACATTCATAAAAGTTTTTTATACTTTCTTACTAATAAAGTCTTACTTATTTTTAAATCAATCTAAAAAGTATTTCAAAAGTCACATTAACTTTTTTCTTCTTATTTATATTCTTTTTAAACAAAAACTTGACTGCTAATGACCTGAAAAATTATAAAATATCTTTTTTATCAATAGCAAAAAAAGTTCTGAAAAAAAGAAAAACTGATGTTATATTACCTATCTAATATATAAAAAAATATTATAGATCTGTTCATATGATGAAAGAGCTATGTATCAACTTTCTTTATTACTTTAAAACTCTAATAATACTTTTTTTCAGTTTTTTCTAAGGAATTTTGCCTATTTTAGCTTGACTCTGAATTTTGAATAATACAAAGTTTCTTATAAGATGATTGATTTAGTAGAATTATATTAGTAATAGTATATAAACAAGTTTCTATTGGTTACTCTATATATTATAGAACATCATTTCTTATTACATCATCAGATTCTATTGAAAAGAATCACAAAAAAAGAAACTCAAATATTGATTAGTTCAACTCTTAGAATATAATAATCTAGTAAGCATTTTATGACTTTATTACAATTGGGATAAAAATAATTCATGATATTAGAGATTATATGGATATGTGATTTATATAAAACAATTTAGAACCTAAAAATATGAAAATATAATATAAAAGATTGGATGTTATGAAATAAAAAACTATAAATTAAGATCAGAGTACTGATAAAAAAACTATATATTGTTATAGATTAATCCAACAAGTTTGTTACTAAGCTATAGCACCTCACGTAATCCAAATAATTAACAAATACTTATAACTGATACAAAGAGAACAATGCCTCTTGTAAAGAATACTTAGAGAAGATAAAGACATAATAATTGATTTGGCTAAAAATACATGTCTCTTTATTTATATTCTGTTTCTTTTCTATATTATCAACTCTTATCTCTATTCACAATGAGAGCTACAGTATTTTTCTAACACATTCAATACTATCTTCTCAGCTTATACTAATAAGCTATTTATATTTTTCTAATTAACAATGGACTATCTATTTTATAATAGGGCTATGCTAACTCTAAACTTTGCTAAACTTTCTATACTTTGTTAGAAATACATAGTTTTCTTATCAATACTCATGTTTCAATCTATAGTTTCTTACTTTGTAATACTCAATCTTTTATATTAGACTTTCTGGTTTTTAGATTCTAGACCATTACATATAAATTGAATTATCCATGTAATCTCTGATAATATATATAATAGTATATGAAAAGTTTAGCAAAGTTTAGAGTTAATATAACCTATTATAAAGTAAATAATTTATTATTAGCTAGAAAAGTATAAATAATCTACTAAGATAAAATGAAAAGGTAATATTCAATGTGAAAAGGTCAATTCTTATTGAGAATAAAGATAATAGTTGATATTATACAAAAGAAATAGAATGCAAATAAAAATATACTAGTTAATTATTATATCTCTACTTTCCTTAAGTGTTTTTTACAGGAGGCATTTTTTCTTTTAGAATTAGTTGTGAGTATTGTTGGCTGTTTGGATTATGCAAGATACTATGGATTAGTAATGGACTTATCAATTTAATTCACAACAATGGCAAGGAAGAACATATTGCTAGTGGATCAATTTATATAATTATACATATATATACTTCATCTCATATTTTTTTTTCTATAGAGATAGAATTCTTCTCACTTTGAAAAATTCAAATCATTCAAATAACATTAAGAGAAGATTTCTTTATTACTCTTCTATATCAAATTGATTATATGAATAATCATTCTAAAGATTTTTCCTTTTTTTATTTGATAAAAGTAGTTAATTCTTATATGTAGTTGGAATTTGACTAAAAAATAGTTTTACCAAAGGGATATGGAAGAGTTTTCTGTAGTATTAAAGTAGCCTTAGATAAAATAAATGAGTAATATTGAAATTATTTGATATTAGGAAATATAGATTAATTATAAAACCAACAAGTCAGTATATAGATATTATTAAAAGTTATCAAGAAATAATATATAGTAACATTTTATCAATACTTTTACTTTATATGTATTCCTATTAAAGTTTTTTCCCCTTTATAAGTTACAAAGTTGCAAGTATTTTAAGATTTAACCTCCTTTATTGAAATAAACCAAATATATAAAATCCTTATAATCTACAACTGAAGTTCAAACTTATACTATTATACATAACATACTATATACACAAAAGATTTTATATACAATAGATATATATATTTCTTTATTATATTTCTTTTTGAGAGATTTTCTGAAACACTCTAGCATTCTTGAATATTAACATATTATATATATAATTTTTTTTTTATTTTTTCATTTTTTTTTATTCTTCTCTTTAACATACAATATATAATTAGTAAAACCTTAGTATTCTAGAGCTAATCAAAAGATATTATAATAGTTACAGTGAATTACTAGTGACAAACTTTTTATTTTGTTTTATAGTCTAGAGCTATATAGTTGTACAAATTGCTTATATTATTTCTATATTTTTCTTAACAATTAATTAAGTAACTATTCTATATTTTTTTTAAAAAAAAAATTAGAAATACTTCAATATTATCTTAAATTCAAAGAAAAGTTAACTTTCTATTTTGATAGATTACTTGTTAACTATGAAAAAAAAATTAAAAACTACTTGAATTCAAATAGGAAAAAAAAAAAAAAAGTTCAAATAAAAATAAACAATTGGTCTTTATTTACAAAAGTTAAATTGATAGTAATTATAATTATACTCTTGGTAATTTTTATTAACAGTGTTATTAGAATTTGTATAGATAATCAGGCCTATATTTTTAAATAAACGGTAATAATAAAAAATTCAAAAAAAATTTACAAGAAATGATTAAAAGAAAAAAATTAATTTTTTTAGATATGAATAATAAAGCTAATAAAAAAAAAGAACATAGATCTGAAGTTAATTAAAATTAAGATATATATTAATAATCCTTATAATAAAAAAGCAAATACTTTAATTAAAGAAGCACTAAAGCTTTTATTAATAGAATGAAAAAATCTTAGCTTATATAAGATAATCATAGAAATCAAATAATAAGATAAGATCTTAAGTAATTCAATTAAACAATTCATTTAAAATATAAACAATAAAACAATAGCCTATCAGTAAATATAACAAAATAGAACAAAAAAAAAATAGAGCTATCAGATTTTAAAATAACAAGCTCATATATAGGATCCAGTATAAATAATAATAAAAGATAAATATACTATATATATGATATGTCTTTCAAAAAATCTTAATAAAAAAGCTTTTTCATTAAACTGATTAATGATAAGCTATCAACATTAAATAAATTGACTAAAAGAAGACCTGACCTCTATAAGTTAGTAAAATATATTATATATAATCAATAAAATAAATCAATAAAACGCTTGTTAGAATATTTAGTTTATAAGAATCAATTATAAATAGTATAAAATAAAAAAATAAATAAAATGTTCAAGGACTTTAAAAAGTTTCTATAAAAAAAGAAAAAAAAAAGACTAAAGAGAAAGTATTAGATTGGTTATAAATAATTAAAAAGAATTAGAAAAGTTTAATAAGTAAATCTCTAGACTAATAAAATATATAACTAAAACTAGTCAAGATATCTTAAGCTTTTGCGCTAGTCTTATAAAAAATAATCATATTCAGGAAATGTTAAATCTAAAATATTATAGAAAATGTATAAAAAAAATAGTAAGAAGATAAATAATAAAGAATTTATAAACAAGTCTATAAAAGAATTTGAAACAAGAGATGCAAAAAGATTATTGAATAAAATTAATTATAAGAAACTTACAAAAAGGACAAAACAAAAAGACCTCCATATATTATAGATAAAAAAACCATATTATAATAAAAAAAGGAGCCACTATTAGAAGAAGAAAAATTAAAAAATAAAAGTTTCAAAAGATTTTAATTAAAAGAGCAATATATAAAATAAAGTAACTAGGTTTTGAACTCTATCATAAATATTATGAAGTGATTTGTAGTAATAATCTGTAAACAATGAAGTTAGTAGTTAAAAGGATTTTTACTTAAATCATTAATAAAGTAATAAATTATTTCTAAAGTTGTACTTAAAGTTTTAATAAAATTTAAAATAAAGATGAATGAGTTAGATAGAGATTTAGCTTTAGTGATATATTTTATAATATAAAATATACAAAATGTTTAATAAAGTATACATATTTAACCTAACAAAAGATAAAAAATATATACAGTATATATACTTATATTTTCGATTTATTAAATAAATTACAATTTAGTCTAGCTATAAGTATTATAAAAAAAACAAAAAAACAATACAAGTGCTTTTTTAACTTGAATAAATATTGTTTTCGATTAATAATAACTTGTTCATGACTTTAATACAAATATTTTGAAATCTTTTACAAATAATATAAAAGTCATGAATAATGCTTATAAAATTATATATTTAAAATTTATAATAAAAATATACTTTTAAATTTTTAATGATTAAAAAAAATATGAAATTAGAAATAAGTTATTTTAAATTAATTGAAAAAAAAAAGAACATTATTGATTTCGCTAGTTATTAATCATTCATCTTAATGTTTCAAATTTATTATTAATAGAAAAAAATCAAGAAATTTGAAGATTTAAAATAAATTAAGTTGAAACAATATAATAGTATTTAAATTTTTTTCTAATTTGATAATTTTTTTTTCTTTTTTTCGTGTTTACCGGTTAAAACTTATACTTATAAAAATCTATCAATATACTAATGTCTAGTCGGTAAACTTACAGTATATTTAATATTTGTTAAATACTGTATTAAGAATAGTAATTCAATCAAATCACATGCAAATTTCTTTTTCACCAACATTAAAATCTTTGTATATCTTATAATGAATGTTCGAATCTTGCGTAAAATTGTGCGTAAATTTATCCACGACATAATCTGCAGCAGTGCTAGAAGGCATTTCACCATTAAACACCCTTTGTTCAAAAATGTCCACCAACTTTTTTATTGATTCATCTGAATTCAACCTATTAAAAAAGACCATGAGACTCTTGAAAATCAAAATATTATATATATATACTTAATGTCCCAACGTACCTGTCCAAAAGTTCTGCTGTTATCTGACGCCACATCCATAACTTCCTTTGTTCACCACGCCTCCTTTGGAATTCACCAGACTCCTAATAAAGCACAGTTTCACCAAGAGATGCTACAAGTATTTAACAAAATCACATTACTTCTTACCTTCATTGCCTTGAAATATGACATAATTATGTTCCAGGTATTTTCAATTCCCATATTTGTTTTGGCAGATACACTTGTAACCTACATTATTCGCAATTTTATAAGAATTCGAATAAACCCGAAAAGAAAAACGGCAGTCATTCTATGAAAAATACCCGAGGACTCCAGTACGGAGTTGCCGGTTGAAGGTACTTCAAGGCACTAGTGTATTCGGTTAATGCTTCTCTTGCAGAAGCGGCGAGAGGACCATCGGCCTTGTTGACCACAACAAGGTCGGAAATCTCAACTATACCTTTTTTCAATCCCTTTGCATCATTTATAATAAATATAATAATTCACAATAACAATGAAGAAAAAATTTTATCGGCATACGAAACAATGCATCTAACGCGATACCTGTATTTCATCGCCACCAGCAGGTGGTACCATTAAAACAAACCTAAGAACATCGTACGTTAGACAGTGACTAAGAAACAGATGTAAAGCGGAAGGCAGGACTCACATGTCAACTATGTCGGCTACCATTGTTTCTGACTGACCTACTCCAACGGTTTCCACTAAGCATACGTCATATCCGGCAGCTAGGAATTTTCTTAAATCGGTAAAGAGCGCGATCTGTTTTTTTCCTTGTAGCAAAAAATGGTGACATCATACCCTCACATAAAATTATAGCTTCATTCGTATTTCGGGCTACCTACATTATCCATGACCTTATAAAAAATTCATTTATAATAAATTCTCAAGTTGAAACAAGACAAGACTTACACCACCTACAAGTTTATAAAGAATTAATCGAATAGAAATCATAATGTAAGAGATACATTACGAGGAACCATTCATACCTAGTGTACCACGACTCGGTGAAGGTCGGATATACGCGTCTTCTTGTTGAGATAATCTTGGCATCCGAGTCTTATCGCCTAGAATAGACCCACCGTTTCGTGATGAAGACGGATCAACGGCCTGAATAGATTTACCACATAAATACGTAATATGAGATGAGGCGTGATGATATAGTGAGAATGAATTCTCACCAGTACGGATACACGGTGTCCTTGAGAAAGTATATACATTCCGAAACTTTCGATAAAAGTCGATTTTCCAACACCTGGTGGACCGGATAACCCTATTCTGAATGTCGGTTTGCGTTCACCCATATTTTCGGTAGTGTGTTGCGCCTCAAGGATCATGGAGAGCAATCGTTGAGCCTCTCGTTTGTGATCCTTTCGCTTAGATTCAACTAAAAAAGTGTAATAACATCAAAATGTCAAGCGTGAACCATTCATTTGCAATTCGACGATGAATACCCACTCAAAGTTATGGACTTTGCTAGGTAATAGCGGTCACGGTTCTTTATGCCCTCGTAATATTGAAGAATCTTCTCCGACACTTCACTGGATGTAGAATAAAATTTTTTCAAACGAGATAGAACTCCCCCCTTCAAGAATTCATTATTATGTAACCGCAAACTTTGTTGATGATACTTGGGTGTAATGCTACGAATGGGATTTGAAAGCAGCTGGAACAATAAAAAATAGTAACGAAGAATGCATCAAATTCTCGGTTCATGATTCAGTTTCAAAAAGAGTGAATTATGACAAACACTTTTGAAATTCGTAGAACCATAATAAAGCTTGGGAAGAGTCAAAATTCTCAAAACTCTTTTTTTAAAAAGAGTCGGATGATGTAGTAGATCTTACGTGAATTGATAATTCCTTTTTTTTCTTTGCGCAACATAAATGTCTATATTGTAAAAATTGAGATGCTCACGTGGGAATGCATTGCTGGTTCTCCAAACAAATAATTTTTGTAAGCGGCGGCCATTCTGGTCCCGTTATACATTTTCTCGTGAAAATGACTATCAGATCCAAGTTTCGCCCAAAGATTACAGCAGCATATAAGATTCTAGAAATAGGAAATGATGATGAGCTTTGTTGAACTTCTTGCTAGCTCGAAAACAAACAAGATATTTTCATAGTTTGAATAATAGTATATAATAATATTACATTAAATTTTTAGTGTGCGTTTGCAAACCAAAAAAGTAAAGCATAGTATCGAAACTAATGTAATAAATATAATTAAGCAGTACTACAATTATGTATATATAAAAAAAAAAAAATATCTAGTTATGACTAAATATCGAGATGCACCAAGTAAGAATGAATTAAGGCAAAATGAATTTAGAAACTTGCAAATATTAATAAAGAAAAAAAAATGTACTGCAAATTTGGTCAACAAGGAAAATCCTATGGCCACATTTCACATTCCAGGTCATGAGTAAAGTAGTTAGTGGAAAGAGTTATTCTACTGCTTCCTACGCTTATCTTGATAACGACATTTTACTTAAACAACTCTTTATTTTCGTAAGCGCTGCGAAATCGATACCAATCGAAAGAGCCTGGTCGTGGGGCATGTTCAGATTTCTTAATTGATAGCATTTGGCCAGAAATAACGATTGCTCCTTGAGTCAATGCTTCATTATAGGAATCCCATTTTGCAAAGTACGCGAAAGCATGATCCTGTGATTCAAAGAAGGACGACAATCAATGAAAGCACAATATATATCGCCCATGTACCACACAAAAAATGCGTCAAGGAAAACTTACCCTGTGACGGTATTTTGCAACGGCGATTACTTCCCCAAACATATCACTTAACGATTTCTTGATGACAGCAGGTGGAATATCAATCTTAAACACACCAACATAGACGGCCGGAATCGTGATTTTTGGCGTACTTTGCTTAGTCGCGTCGGCGGTCACTTTTGTCCAGCAACAATCGGATTCGTCAGTCTATCAGAAATGTCGAATTTTCTAAATTAATTCTTATTACCACACTTACCTTCTTGCAAATTATGACCCAAATTTTGAACCAAAAATTCGGGAGATTGTTGAGGTGTGGACGCGGAATGACGCAAGGCGAGCTTAGCTGAAAGTTCTTTCAGAGATTCCACGAAAGCTTGATTGGTGCCTCTAAGCGACTCGATAATCGGAGCATTCTTAACGGAATTACTAGTTGACCCACTGAATCGACTTTCTTTAGCAGTGGATGTCGCAACACTCTTAATGGACTCTTGGTCATCCTCCTCGCAATGCTCCTGATCTTCAACGCTGATTGACGAATAACTCAACATTGCGTCTCTGGCGTCAGCAAGAATAGCTTGCGAGGCGATCAATTGATTCCTTATGGTCATACAACCACCATCTTCGCGAGTAGAAATACGGTCATGATAAGCGACAACATTGTAAAGAATTCTTTCATTATAGTGAATAGCTTCGGTGAAACTTCTGATGGCTTCATTTTGCAAAGCGGAAATTTGTTTACGGAGATGTTTTATTTCTCTCTCTTTCTTCTTAAGATAAGATTCATCGTTCGAAATCACATTTTTTCCCTTGCAATCTGTCATTTTATCTTTCGACTTCCAGAAAAAAGAATGCATATATTAGATCATCATGTTGTTAAGTAAAAAAAAATTTTTTTTAATTCTCGAGTACATATTTCCGTGTTTAAAGAGCTTCTTTTTTTTTTCGTTATTAATACCTTTAATTATAGGACGATTGCAAAACAAGAGAAAACGACGAACGTGTGGCGCAGAGAATAAAAAAAAAAAATTTTTTTTTTTTTAAACCGAAATTTATGGAATTTTACAGGTATACATTTACTTTCCGTATGTTGTCATCATGATACTATTCTTATTATTAACCAGCTATTATGTCATCTCATTTTTTTTGCGAAGTCAAAGTTGATTGAATTAATTACGTAATTACGGTAGATAAAAAGTGAACCCCGTCTATTAAAAGAAACTTTATAGGTGACGCAATTCGCCGAGATTCACCTGAATTGATGTAAATAATTTTTGTTAAGTTCTGACTTGAAAAATGCTTTTTCATCTAACGTGAAATAATTTTAATTTATCTTTTTGTTAATCTGACATCAAAAAAGAAAAAACATACCAAATCATCTGTAATCTTTTGCCAACCCATACTTTCCGAGCCGAGGACTTAGTCACAATGGTTTATTGTTCTGTTCACTCAGCCACTTATAAATCGAACTGAAATCTTTTTTTTCATA